AAGGGAAGGCAATGAGAGGCAGGGGCCATCTCCGACTGACCTCCACGGCCACTCTAGTCTGTACCTACTGAGCAAACACACACGAATCCTTTTTGCTGCTGTATGACCTGTATTCACCTGTCTTTCCTCAGCCTTCACCGCTCACCTATGCTCAGTCCTGTCATTCATAGAGCCAAGCAGGCTCTGGGGGATACACCTGCACAGTCCATGAAAAACGTACCAGCCTTTCTTTTTTTGGGACAAGATCTGAAATTATTTCTTTTATACAGTGGATGTCAATATGTTAACATCACAAAGGATAAATACAGTCCTTCTTCAGCACTCTGCAAGATACAATTGCTTCCAGCCATTCTTCTCCTGCCCCTGGAATATCAAACCCCCATAAGATCCCATCCAAAACAAACAACTACTAGTATATCGGAAGTTGTCATTACTGTTTAAATGACACCACTGCTTAAGTCCAAACGTCTCCCCTCTGCATACTCTAAAGACATTTCTCTGCTTACATGTACCTTAAATAAAACCAAAAAATAAATTTAAGGAACTTATATTCTTTTATTAATATGAATAACTTTAAATTTCCAGTCTTCAAAGACTGATATAAATAATGTAGAGGGACAGAATATCACCATATTTTTATATCCTTTTAGAACAAGGAAAGGGATGGTAGAAAACTTCAACCATAATCCTATTTGTTTGAGTATGGTACAAAGAACATTTTAAATTATCCTAAAAAGTACAGCTTAAAATCACTAACATACATTCATTTCCCACTATTTGCAACAATTAGAGAGAAAAAACCCTCAAAACAAAAATTATAAGCCTGTAGAAAAATATAATAATTGCTAAATATTATAAACAGTCTTTGAAGCAAACCTGCTTAATACTCAAGAGAGACGGTTCCCCAGCAGGTCTCTGTTCCAATCTTAACTTCAGACATTCGTGTATAACGTTCAGAAGGACTCGACAGAGGACTAAGAAGGCAGGTTTGAATGAGGGTAAATCCATGGCCTTCAGCTCTTCCCACGACACAGCGCTGCACTTCTGCTCAGAGGAAGGCGGTGTCCTGGACAACTGCACATAATCGGAACCCCACATGGGATCTGGAAATTCAGAAAACTATAAAAAAAATTCAACAGGTAAAGATTAAAAGAGCATACAGGACAATATCCTATGGTTATGGTTACAAACTATTATTCTCTATAATTTGTTGACAAAGCCACAAAATTCCACTTTCAGAGGGAAAAGAATCTTTAATAATTCAACATTTTCAACACAGACACAAAAACTTCTAAGAGTGTTAGAAAACCTAAACAAGAATTAAAACCAAACTGTAATACTTTTATCAAAAAAGTATAGTAGAAAAAGAATGAGGTTCATCTTTAACATTTTTGCATCACATTTAAAATGATCAGAACACTAGTTTGAAGATTATATACGGTAATATCCACAATTATCTCTAGACTGAGAAAACCACAGAATTATTAAAATTTGAGAAAACATTACAAAAATCAGGTAATATTAATAGCTCGTCCTAAGTAGCACTGATGAAAACATAAAAATCAGTGGGTTCAACCAATTCTTTCAGTTGTCCCCCTCAAACTCCTTTACCTCTCCCCATAAAATAGGGGATTTGGAGTTTTCCACTGTTCTTAAACCTCTGGCGATATCATCTGACCAATCGCTTTCAAAAACCTTACCATCTCCTTTTATTGAGAAAACTGAGGCCATCAAAACCTGAAAACCTCAACTTTTCTCAACTTACAATGTCACCAATTGCAGCTATTCTGCCTTCGTGATGTCATTCCTATCTCCCCTGTGGGTCACTGCGAGCTCTTAACTGTTTCCCCTGCTCCCGTCTTGACCTTTAATTTGACCTCCACACAGTAGCCAGAGTGACCATTTCTAAACACACCTCAGACATGCTCATGGCACTCTAGGATCCACCTGAATAAAATCTAACTCTGACTTTGTCTTTAAGGGCCACACAGTCTGTCCCCGCTTCCCTTCCAGGACTCTGCTGTCCCGCAGCCCTTCCCCAGGCCAAGCCAGGCCAACCTGTTTCTGGGCGTGCTCTCCCTCGGCCTCCTCCCTGGCTCTCCAGTGTCCCTGCTTCTCCTGCAGTCCTCCTCGCCCCCTTCCTCCTCCCCAGAGCATTTCACATTTCACCCACCGTCCCAATGCCTGACGTTTATTACGGCACACTAAATGTTTGTTGCTGAATTCATGAATGATATCCTCATCTGACGCTTTCAAGGCCCCCAGCTGCCTACCTATCAAATACGGCCCAAGGAACTCAGCCTGATATGGCAGACCCTTCCTGACCTAGTCCCACCTTTTCATGCAGCCCTGCCTCTCTTGTCCTCCACGGGACGGGCTCAGCCGACCTGCGCACACATGTCTTGCACACCAGCCTGACTGCCCACGCTGCTTCCTCACCTGGAAACGCTCCTCTCCTCATCTGTCCACTGGAAATCTAGTTTTCAAGGCTCATCTCATGATACCTTTCCAAAGGCTTTAATCTCACCCCCCGACACACACACACAGCATGCCAACTAAAGCAACTCTAAACCTTGAGTTCATTTTGATTTTGATTATAGAGACGGTGTGGCTTAATAAGAAAAAAATCAAGGTCCCAAAATCAGAAAACCTGGTTTCAAGTCAGTTAATTTCTGACGTGATTCTGGAAACAATCAGTAGTCTCTCAGATGTGGTTTCTTCATTTAAAACATAGAGTAATCATTGCACTTCTTTTAAAGATTAAATAAAGATATAGAATACTGTATACATATGGAAAAAGTGCCTTTAAAAAGATACTACATATAACATTTGCAAAATTACTACTGTTAACATGTCTATCTCTCTCACTAGACCATGACTGCTTCACAGCAAATGCAAGCAACCACATCTTCAGTCAGATTTGTGCAAACCCCCACATCTACAACTTTCAGAGGACTCAGTATCTGAATTGCAAAGAACCTCCACTGCAGACTGAACTACTTTTTATAGCTATTACCTTCTTCAGGATGGTTCCCGGTCCCTGTGTCAATCACATTTCACACAGTCCTCCACACTTCTCTTCCATTGAAATATACATGCAGACATTTAACAAGTTTACTAGTCCTATTTTTAAATACTCCTCAAATCCACCCTCTCCTCCCTACCCTAACTGCCTTAATTCACACTGGCTTTTAACTGCTTTTCCAATTCTAACATTTCAATCCACTGACCTCACAATAACCCCCAAAGTGATTTTATTCTAAGGGTTGTCTTAACCCTCCTTCTAATTTAAAACACATGGCTCCACTAGCAGCCCTAAGCATTAGGCATGTTTACTAAGCCTAATGGCCTGGTCTCTATGGAGATCCTGATCCTTATCTCCTGCCACCACTCCTTCGCCTTTACCCATACACCTCTTACATTTCCCTGACGTCAACAAACATGCCTCTGTGTTTCTGCATAAATTAGTATCTTTTATTACTGGAGGTTATGATCTGCTAACAATGTCCTGTCCCTGGTGAACTCTTACTCTCATTAGGAAGCAGCTCAGATGCCACCCTCCTCTACAGTCTTCTGTGATTGCCTCAGATGTGCATTTAATCTCTCCCCTTCTCACAGTATTTGTGCCTTGCAAATAAATACTTCCTGAGTTGTATTGACCATGCTTTACTATAACGTGTTATTTTATCTATTTGATTTACCTATTAGACCATCGGCTCCATGAAAAAGACTTTATCTCTAATTAACTATGGATTTCCAACACTTAGAGTACCTGCCACACAGTGAATGCTGAACAAATTAACAGGTAAATACTCCTACAAAAGTGTCAATATCACTTCTCTGGCTATTTACAATCTAACATGAAAGAATGGAACATAAGACCAGATCAATCTTGTTAATAAATTCTTAGTTCTCAGATTTGTTATTGTATTTCTTAATGACAATAGCAATTATTTTAGTGAGAAGTTGACAAGCTCTACAGTTTTAAAAGTGGATGCTTTTTAAAAAAAAATAACACATACTTGGGTTAACAGAGATACATTTAATTACAAAAATACTGTTTTCTTGGATAGCATAAAATTACCAACAATTAAATGCTTGAAAGGAAAAAATTTCCTCTACTCCTTAAAATGTAGACATTTAATCTATTATAACCTGACATCAACCAAATAAAATGTTAGCATATAACCACTAAAATATAAATTGGGGAACACTCGAGTATTTCTACTTAGAGTGAAATCTGCATAGCACCAAAATTAGTCTATACTTTTATGTTCAACATGTATTTCTGCATTTAAATTAATACATACTTGGGTTTCCCTAACAAGAAGAATTTCTAAAATAGCCACTTGATTTTTAAAATGATTACTTGTGATAAATATGGTCAGGGTTAAGACGTATCTGTATAAAGACTTTAGGCACTATAAATGCTTTTTTTCCTAGTATAATGACGTCAGAAAAAAATGTTTATTTAAAGCTCTGTAAAATTCAGCAAACTTTCTATGATAAAATTCTAAAGACTTTTTTTGGCATTCTCTACAATCCCAGCCTGTTAACTCGTCTGCTACAGGCAGGTGGGAGAACGATCCCTACCGCTCAACAACTGCAAGACCACTCCACCTGGGAGACCCCGTGACCAGACCTACAGAGGCACTGAGATTCATTCCTGTTGGTGGGACACGGTAAGTCAGTACAAGTCCAGACAGAGAGGAACAGACATTAAAAACCCAGCATTTAAGAGGAAACAGCAGTTTCCTTAAGAGAAGACCCAGGTGGAAAATCAGAACAGCTGGCTTCAATTAGTACTGACTGAACGTAGGAAACAGGGAACCATAAGGATACTCTAATACAAGATCTCATTAAATCCTCTGGAAAATAATACATTGAGATTTTTTGAAATAAATTCAATAAAAACAATGAAAATAGAATGAATATTGCCAAAAACTGAATTAATAGTTTATAAATTAACTGTAGAAAATACTACTATAACTCAAAGCAAAAGGAAAGGGGATGAAAACTTTGAGTAAAAAGTAAGAGATATGGACGTCAGATTTAGACAGTCTAACATAAGACTAATAGGAGTTCCGTAAAGAAAAAAAAAAGACGAAGAAAGCCTTTGGCATATTCAAGTTATCACTAATATGTGAAGAAAACAAAACCAAACCTCTTTGAACAGGGAAGAACTCAAAGTACAATTCATTTACCTTCTCTAAAAAACTACTCAAGGAAGTATGATAGAGTCTAGTCCAATGAAAATTGGATTAGAATAAAGCTCTCAAAACAGGGGAAGAAAAGTATCAAAGGAAGTAACAAGCCATAAACCTAACAAAACATATACAGATTGAGCATCCCTAATCCAAAAATGTGAAATCCAAAATGCTCCAAAATCCAAAACTTTTTGAGTGCCAACATGACAGATTTGGAATGCTCAACTGGTATGTATTCTGCAAATATTCTAAAATCTGAAATTGGAAATACTTCTAGCCCCAAACAGTGCAGATAAGGAATACCCAACCCGTATAGTTAGATACAACTCTAGGATGATAATTTGGTTATGGACTATAATTCAAGTTCTAGAATGGAATATTTTTAAAAAATTTTAAAAGCACACTATAAGGCAAGAACCTGGATCCTAAACTCCAAATTATTTCAATAAAACCACAGAGTGGGGACAGGGGCAGTGTGGTGTAGGAATGGCGTATCTGTTATTATTTCATTCCAGTGAGGAGTACAGGATTAAAGATGGTGTAAATGCCCTGATCAATTCAGCCAAACCAGGAAGACTCGATAATATAAGGACATTAATAAAAATGTGTAGTGATTCTTATAATTTTATGTTGCCTCATTACTCAATATCTTTTTCTCATACCAGAAACAGGGTTTAGTCACCCCTGACACAGTTTCCAGTTCTACACCATCTCCCAGTTCCTCAGTGTGTTCAATCCAGATATCCGCGTCATACAACTTACTCCTGGTAACCACGTCCACATGAGACAACCACACACAGCCTACTCAACTGGCCCCTGACCCTCACACTCGCATGTACTGTGCAGACATGCTGTAGTGACTACTTCTCAGTCACAGCTGACCTCCTGGAATTCATGCCCACTTGCTTTAGA